CGGCTCCAGCCGCCAACCTGGCCAGGAGGGAGGCAATGGGGGGATGGAGGCAGGAGGCAGGGCTGGCACTTAAGAGGAGCAGAGCCATAGAGATGGGTGGGGCCCTGTACCGGGGGGGTGCAGCCCCCCAAGTTTCTGTCTAGCCTACCTCAGCCCCCCCACGGGGAAGAGGATGGTGCCACCCATGGAGGGGGGAAATTGGGGTTTAAGGGTTTAGGGTTTGGATTACAGGGTCAGGGTCTAGGGGTTGGATTAGGGTAAGGGGGAGTTATGTTTAGGGTGTGGATTAGGTTTGGAAAGGGCTAGGGGTTGAGAGGGAGAGTCAGGGCTGCCCGGGGGGGGGGGCAAGTGGGGCAATTTGCCCCAGGCCTCGCAGGGGCCCCCACGAGAATATAGTACTGCAACTTTTTTTTATGGAAGGGGCCCCCAAAATTGCTTTTCCCCAGGCCCCCTGAATCCACTAGGCAGCCCTGGGGAGAGTTAGATTAGGGGAGGGGAGGGGTAGGTTCTGGGAGGCAGGGTTGAGGGTTAGAGGGTTGTGTTTAATGCGAGGGTTAGGATGAGCTTTAGGTTGGGTAAGAGTTTGGGTTCAAAGGTGAGTTAGAGTTAAGGGGTTAGGGTTATGGTCAGGGTGGGGGTTATGATATAATAGGGTAATGATCAGGGTTAGTTGAAGGGTTAGGGTGCAGGGGTCAGGGTTGGGTTGCCTAGGGTGAAGGGAGGGTTCAGGGTTTAGGGTTGGATTGTGGTGTGGGATAGGGTCAAAGGTTAGGGGGAGGAGTTGGGTTAGAGTACTGGGGAACAGGAGTTAGGGTTTGGGATTAGGGTTAGCAGGTGAGGGCTCAGGCTTTGTCTTTTTTGCTCTTCTAATTGTTTGAATTGACCATTCTGTATCAATTTCCTGTAAATATAGTTTAATTCCTTTTATTAACTTTTCAAAAACATTAGTTTCATTATTATACCACCACCTATATTTTTATTGTGAAATAGTAAATTACAGGTTTTAATACTCATGGTTTTTTTTGTTTTTTAATGTCAGGCTATTATTTGTGATCATATCACTTGAATGCTGTCTGATTTCCTTGGTTGTCTCAGCCCTGCTCCAGAAGTAGCAATTTGTGATGGATGCTGTCTGCCCTGTCACAGTTTCCTACCCCATGAAATCTCAATATTAAATTTGGATCTCAATAAAACAAATGTTTTCTCACTTAGAAAAATGTATTGTTAGAAAACTCATTTAATGTGTCCCAATTTCAAACAGATTTCCCAGAAGTAGCACACTGTGACAATGCATACCCCATCTGCCACAAATCGCTACTCCTAGACCCAGGGCTGGCAAAAACGTGCTATGTAGATGTCAGTAACTGCAACTGGTAGGAAATTGGGGCAGGGAGCAATTTGTAATAGTACGTCCTGACACTACAGAGGAGATACTGGGCTGTTTCCCCCCACCAGACATCAGGCTCTCCACCTTCGGGTCAGTGACTGCCAGGGCAGCTGGGGGCTGGTCTTGGTCTCTGTGATGAGCAGGCTACTCTGGGTGCAGGAGAGGGTAAGATCTGGGGCAGGTTGTTCAGCAGCCAGGAACCCACGTGCTTGTCCGTCCCTGAGCAGCTGAGGAGCACAGTGTGCAGCTGGTCCATGCACCTGCTGTAGCACTGCTCTGTGGCCAGGCTCTGCTTGGTGGTGGCTGCAAGAGATGGGTCAGCATCAAAAACAGCACAGCAAACGGGGAGCCAGGAGCTGCTGTGGCAATCAGCCACCAGCCAAACCCACAAACCTGTCAGCCTGCAGCATCACCATCTGTCCTCCATGTGCCACACACACCTCTCCACCCCTCCTCTGTATGCCAGAGACGCTCATCTATCCATCTCCAGACATCTGTTTCTCTCTGATTTTCCATGCAGCACCCAACACAATGAGGCCCGGATCTGAGTGACGCTTTTGGGTGCTGCAGTAGTGGAGCTGTAGGATGATAGTGCATCTCTGGGCATCTCTAGTCTCAGCCCCTTTTCTCTTGAGCCCGAAGCCATGACTCTGAGTTCACACCTCTCGGGCCCAGACCCCATAGCCCCGAAGATACTCAACCAACCACTCGTGCTCTGTGATCCCGTTACAGCAACAAGGATCTCCCCAAAGTCCCCATGAAGAGGAGGAGGAGTGACACCTTGAGCCTGGCAGGCAGCATGAACTCTCCTCAGCATGGCATGGATCATCCCTGGGGCAGACAGATCCTATATGACCCATACGAGACCACGGGGGGCAAGAGAGTGCATCCCACTGAGCCTGATAGGAGGTGTGGACCCTCCCTCTGGGTTGCATTGGGGCAGACAGACCCTCCCCCGAGATGGATCCTCCCCAACCCATGGGAGACTACAGGGTGCCAGGGAGTCTTTACCCAGGGTCTTGCTCTGTTGCAGGCTCTCCATGTGCTACACCGTGATCTCCAGCACGTCAACTTTCTGCAGCTTGGATTGCTGTAAGGAGTGGAGGGAGGCACTGTTAATGAGTGATGGCAGGTACAAGGATTTGGGGACGCAAGGTGCTGGGGGGTCGCAGGTGGGACAGTGCCATGTGTGTCCATCCATGCCCCTCCCCCCCATTTGGGCAGTGACCCGTGGTTGCTATTTCACACTTTAAGAAAAGAGCCCAATGCCACTGTTTGTCACAGGGTAATTTTATTTAACACAAAGCGTTCATCAGAAATTTACAACCCCCACCTTGCCCAGCACCTGCCCAAGGCGGCGCAGTCACTCATAACAGCAAATACCCCAGAACATACAGACCCAAAGGGCAGCAGCTTAAATGAGAAGCAATGAGATGATGCCCAGAGAACCTAGTGAGGGGCTGTGGGGAAGTAGATAAATTGCAACTAACTACAATGGGGAAAATCATAATCCACCAGGGAGAAAAACTGACTCCACTGGGAAATCAAACCAGCTCCAGCGAGCCTGGGATTTCCAGCAATTCGGGATTGGAGCAAGAATTCTCCACTTCCCTTCATTGTCTGGCAATTTCCAGGAAAGGGTAATGTTAGAGAGCCCTCCACAAATGGATAATTCCCAGCCCACTGTGACCAAATGCACCCCTGTATTCACACCCTACACAGTATTGTAACAATCTTTGGACAAAATATGCCTTGTGAGGTAGCATTTGAAACTCAGTGATCAATACTATTTTGGTGAAATGGCTGTAGCAACAGTCTGTGTAAAGTTATGAAATTCCACCTATAGGGTATTAAAAGCACAAGTTCCAATTCACATAGCCTGATTAGATGGAACTGGTCAAGCACACCTGTCCTAAAGAAAGGGATGTGCGTTTGCCTCAGTTTGCATTTCAGCTGTAAACAGATTCCACAGGACAAGAGGGGGAAGAAAGAAGCAGTATACACAGATGAACAGAAACAGCACAAAGCCTCCTTCTTCCACCAAACTCCATCTCTCCTTGCTCTCAGCAAGAAAGAACTTTCCCTAAGGTGAACACTCAGGAAAATGTTTTTCAAATGGTGACCGAGCTATAAAAGTGAAGGGCAAAAACACCCAAGTTCTCTCTCCCTCCCCGTCTCCCTTTCACCTAAGATGATCAGAGAAACAGCTGCTGGACCCTGGAAGCAGATGCTGGCCTGAGAGTTTGGGCAGCAATATTACTGGAACCTGTGGGAAGGGACTTCACAAGCCTAGTTTGTTAAGGTTAGAAAGCATTTTATCTTTATTTTTTCTTGTAACCATTTCTTCTTTAATGCCTTATTACTTTTGTTCACTTAAAACCTCTCTATGTAGTTAAATAAACTTGTTTTATTCTTGAACCAAAACTAATCCAGTGTTGTGAACTGTAAATGGAATTATCCACAAGGTGGCAGATTTTTGTATATTGACCTCCTAGAGGTACAACAGACCTAATCTATCTGGCCTGTCCAGGAGAGGGCTGGACAGTGCACAACACGTTTTTGGGGTAAAATTCAGGACAGGGAGTGTGTTGGGGTCACCCTGCATGTGGTAGCCCAGGTCTGACGGAAGCCAAAGTGTGACTGGAGTGCTGACAAGCTCTGGGATCAGAGTCGTAGCCGTGTACAGACACTTGGGGGGGGGAAGGGGGGGAGCATCACGCTGACAGGCTGTTTGTGAGCTACCCAAGTCAGAGCTATAACAGAGAAGCACGGTGAGGCACCACACCCCACCCCCCGTTGCAGGTCAGGTGACATAGCCCCACACTGGTCAGGATTACAGCGTGGAACATCATACCGGGGCCACAGCAAGAGCCCCCCCCCCCCCAGCTGTTGTAGTGTTATAAAACACTCCCCAGCAGAATCTGTTACTTTGCTGTTGAGGATGCTGGAGCAAGCTGACCATGTACAGTAACAGGGGCAAAAGGAAGGGGGGGGGGCGGGGAAGGTCTAGACAAGGCTGCTCTTCCCTCTCTGAAATGATGTAGTGAGTTTCTGACACCTTCCCTCTCCCCCCCATACACCCTGCTCTTTAAATACTCACAGTCTTCATTTGGGTGTTTACATACAAGTGACATCTGCACAGAGATGTTCACAAATTGGTCTGCTCAGCTGTTCCGATTCCCTGAACTGGCCACCCTTTCCCATTACCTCCAGGAAACGGAGTTTCATACCTTTTAATTCTTTACTTTTCAAGAAACCTTCATATCTTCTTTTAACACTTCCTAGGGTTTTATTGTGACTCTCATTTACCATATTTAATACATTATTAAAAACAAAACATTATCAAGTCTATTTTTATGATCACATGACTTCACTGGTGCTTGAATTGCTGGTTGGCCGGAATGGCTACCTCTAGACCAAGGGAGGGGTGGACAGCCGTTGCTCCTGTGAAACCTCTTTTTAAAATTTACACACAAGTAAAACAAGATTTTGCTAATTTAGAAAAAAAATGTATTAAAATAGTGATTTCACACAAGTTGAAACCTAAGTTACCTCTAAGCTGCGCAGCAGCATATTAAGCACTGTGCAGGCACTCAGGGCTGTGGCGCGGAGACATGCCTCTCCCCCAGCCCCGGACCTGCTGCGGCCGGGGAAGAGGCACCTATCCTGTGGCCCCAGACCTGGGAGCTGCCGCATTAGGGAGAGGTGCCTCTCCCCCCAGCCCAGGTGCTGCTGCGGGGAGAGAGAGCTGCGGGGAGTCCTCTCCCCCCATTCCTGTAGTCCCAGGGCAGCGTGGACTCCAAACCCCTCATCCCCAGCCCTGAGACCACACCCCAGATGGAGCCCTCACCCCCCCCGCACCTCAACACTCTGCCCCAGCCCTGAGCCCCGTCCCACACTCCGAACGCCTCGGCCCCACACCCGCCACATGAATTTTGTTACGTGCACCAATATGGAGGTAATGTGTGACATCACCTCCATATTGGTGCACATAACAAAATTCCTTCCACACGAGTGGGAAAAATTAGAGGGAACACTGATTGAAACTCTGACAAAGTCCAACCCATCTGTCACAACTCCCTTTCCCATAGACCCAGGAATGGGAAATTGTGGGTGTAGCAAATGGTGACAGGGCAGTCCTCCGCCCTCAACCCTCTCCATTCCACCTTTAGCATTACAACCAAAAACCACCCCTTGCAACAGCACCCGAAATAATCACTCTGCACAGCAGACTCTGGCCCCTCCCCAGCCGTAATCTCACAGAGTCCCGTACCCAACGAGGAAGCACACGGCCTGTGAAGAATACTACAGTGAGCACAGATGAGGAATTCAAAGCACTGACTGCTTACTCACAACCAGAGATGCAGAAGGCAGAAACATGAGGACTATTCATGTCTCCTTAGAAGGATGTCAGGCTGCTCAGGTCCACTTCTGCCATATTCTTGTCCACCTAAGGCTCCTGGACGATTCCTCTGCAAACTAATAAAGCCAAGCAAGAACTATCACTACACAGAGCTCTACTGGTGCGTTGAATCGTGCCCTCATCCCTGTCTCCCTCTCCAGTCCCATCTACATCAGCCACACTGGATGAACAGAGACCGAGTAAACACAGACAGTCACAGCTCCACTTTAGCGCCCACTGCCCCGCATGCTTTTTGTCCGCTCCAACTTCTCCATGGCTCCCGAGACCTGGCCTCTGGGAATGCACATCTGCCTGTGTCCTACGAAGGGAGGCAGAACAAGGAAAGGCAAGGACAGACACAGAGAGATAGAGGGTGTGTGTTGGCCAACGTACTAGAGAAGAGAGAGAGACAGATAGAAAGACATGGGAGGAAGGCAAGCAACTCACCACCTGGACTCATCCTCCTGGATGCAACCTTCCCCTGCCGAGGACGCACCATATCTGGCCAGAGAAATGAGCAGTCCCTGAAAATGGGGACCTTGTCTCTCTCATAACCACAGCTGGTCAGGAACCATTGCTTACAAACCCAGCCCCAGCTAACGGGGCGTCCCTACCTGGAGCCAGGGGGGCCCTACGCAGAGCCCTCACCAAACCAGACACTTATCTCACTGACAGTAGCGACTGCTCCACTGCCAACTGGACGGCTCCTGACTTGCATCAACAATGCTCGCAGGCTCACTGCTCTTGCTCGCTTTCCATCCGACGAGGGGAGTAAACTCTGACATTTGATTTCTTTTCCCTCGGTACTAAACCCTGCACAAGGAGGAAAAACAATGAAGTTACTATCTCAGTGAGCAGCGTCCCGTAGGCTATTCTTTTCGCCTCTCCTACATGGTGGTGCTCCGCCCCAAACCCTCTCCCCCATTACACCTTTAGCACTACAACTAAAACGCACCCCTTGCAACGGCACCCGAAATAATCACTCTGCACAGCAGACTCTGGCCCCTCCCCAGCCATACCCAGCGAGGAAGCACACGGCCTGTGAAGAATACTACAGTGAGCACAGATGAGCAATTGAAAGCACTGACCGCTTATTCACAGCCAGTTATGCGGGAGTCAGAAAGCTGAGGACTGTTCATGTCTGCTGACAAGGATGACCAGTCTGCTCATGTCCACTTCTCCCAGTTTCTCCTCAAGATAGGGCTCCTGGAAAATTCCTCTGGAAGCGCAGCTGCAAAAGCCAAGCATGAGCCAACACTACACAAACCTCTATTGGTGCTTCAAATCGTGCCCTCATCCCTGCCTCCCTCTCCAGTCCCATCTACATCAGCTCCACACGATGAACAGAGACCCAGTAAAGACAGTCACAGATCCACTTTAGCACCCACTGCCCCGCATGCTTTTCGTCCTCTCCTACTTCTCCATGGCTCCCGAGACCTGGCCTCTGGGGATGCACACCTAGCACACCTGCCCATATCTTCTGAAGGGAGACAGCACAAGGAAAGGCAAGGACAGACAGAGAGAGAGAGGGTGTGTGTTGGCCAACGTACTAGAGAAGAGAGAGAGAGAAAAACATGGGAGGAAAGCAAGCAACTCACCACCTGGAGTCATCCTCCTAGATGCAACCTTCTGCTGCGGAAGAGAAACTGCTCCTGGCCAGAGAAATGAGCAGACCTTGAAAATGGGGACCTTGTCTCTCTCCTAAGCACAGCTGGTCAGGAACCATTACTTACAAACCCAACCCCAGCCTACGTGGCGTCCCTAGCAGGAGCAAGGTGGGCCGTGAGCTCAACAATCACCAAACCAGACACTTATCTCACTGAGAGTGGCGTGTGCTCGCATCCCAGACAGACGACTCTTGCCTGGCATCAACAATGCTCGCGGTCTCGTCGCTCTGGCTCGCTTTCCATCGCATGGGGGCTTGAGACTCTGACGCGTGACTTCTTTTCCCTTGGTCCTAAACCCAGCACAAGGGGAAAATACAAATCCGTTACCATCTCAGTTGGCAATGTCTCATAGGCTCTTCCT